ACAACAAAAAACCCCATGACTTGGATCAGGCACACCTAGTTTTTAAACTGCTATCTTGCTCTTTAGCACTGTAAAGATGTCTTTGACAATTGATTTTCTCAGTGCAACAAGTCTTTTTATTTCTTAACTGCTGGTACCATGGGTGCTAAATGTACATCCAAGTAAAATTAAGTTATTGAAAACTTTTATCTTTTCTCCATCTATCACGATGAGATTGAGTAATGGTCCATGGTGTGAAGATTTTTGCTTTCTTGATATTGAGAAGTAGCCCAAATGGAAGGCTGTAGTCTTTGATCTTAGGTAGTTAAGTGCTTCAAATCTTTTACTTTTTGTAAGCAACGTTGTATAATCTGTAGAACGCAAGTTGTTGATGAGCCTTCCTCCCATCCTGATGTCACATTCTTCATCATATAGTCTCACTTCTTGAATTACTTGATCAGCATACAGACTGAATTAATGTGGAGAGAAGATTCAACACTGATGCATACCTTTCCTGACTTTAAAATACATATTGCCCCCTTGTTCTGTTTGAACAATTTCTTGGCATTCACAATGAGACAGATTGCCTACAATAGGTTCAACCATAGTAAAGAATGTGAAGACTCTATAGGACTGTTAAATTGCATCCTATATAAGGTGTCTCTGAATCAGAATTGACTCCACTGATTCTTACAACTACAGCGTTCTGGAATCCGATCCTACATATTTTCCATTGGTCCTGAACATGAAGATGAATAGAGGTGGAGACTAAATTTGCAGATAGTAATTTCTGAAATTTATAAGAAAACATGTTCCAGTATGTTTTCTAAAGATTTAAAAGATAATTACTAATAAGAAAATGCTGAATTTCCAAATGATTAAAGAATAAAGATAAAAAATGCTATGAATGAATCTGATCTTGCAAATTTTATATATGTTGTTGTTGTTGTTACGTGCCGTCGAGTCGTTTGTGACTCATAGCGACCCTATGTACAGCAGCCCTAAACCCTGCTCTATCCTGTGCCAATCGCATTGCCTCTGACACACCCATCCCGATTACCCCAGTCACTGAATCAATTATATATATATATATATATATATATATATATATATATATATATATAGCAATAAAGTATGATTAATAGTAGAAATAAACACATAGAAATTAAAATAATATTCATTAAGTGAAAAGGAGATGCTTTATTAATAATTTATCAATTAATTTACAAAATGAAATGAGCACACAATTTTAGATAAATGAGCAAGAAAAATTGAGACCATACTGACTAATAAAACATGATGAAATAGAAATATTCACAATGAAATAATGTATATATTTTGACTATTAAAGACTATATTATCTAAAAAGAGAGAGAATACTCATTGAGTTTTTTGTAACTCAGTGAATTCCAGTAACTCACAGAGATCTCAATGAGAGAAAAGCTTCTAATACATTGTTGTTGTTGTTAAGTGCCGTCGAGTCGCAGGCAACTCATAGTGACCCTATGAAGGAGAGTCCTTGATGCTTGGGTGCCTTTCATCCTCTCTCCAAGTTCATAGGGTTTCCAGAGGCAAGCTATTATGGAAGTGGATGCCACTCCTTTCTAATACATTAGTCTTGAAATTAGGTGTCAGGTATTTCTAGGAATATATGATTACTTTACAAGGGATACCGGATTTCTAACAGAATTCATTTTTTTAATTTTATTTTATACTGGCTTATTTATAAAGTTCATATACATTGTTTTTCACACTAGATCTTTCCCATTTCCTTCACCTCCCTCTCCCATCAAATTGTGCGATCCTATGACTAATCACCTCCACCCCCTACCCATCCTCAACCCTCTGCTTCCATTCTCCAGCCCTACCTCAGATCCTCAAAATGGTCTTATACAGTATTTGTCCTTATGGAACTGTACAGTATTTGTCCTAATGGAACTGAGTTAGTTCACTCAGCATAATGCTCTCCAGTCCCTCCCAAGTTATGTAATAATTTACAAAATCATTGCTCCTGCATGCTGCATAGTATTCCATTGTGTGAATGTAACATAATTTCTCAATCCATTTCATTGTGCTGGACATTTAGGCTGTTTTCATTTTCTTGCAATAACACTGCTATGAACATTGGAGTACAAGTCTCCACATTTGCATATCAGACCTCATTGTCTCAGGGTATATTCCAAGTAGTGAAATAGCTGAGTCATATGGAATTTCTGTGTTCAGCTTTTTTTAAGGAAATGCCAAAATGCCTTCCAGAGTGGTTGGACCATTTTACAATCCCACCAACAATGTATAAAAGTTCCTATCTCTCCATATCCTCTCCAACATTTATTACTTGCTGTCCCGTTAAACATTGCCATTGCTACTGGAGTGAGATACTATCTCACTGTGGTTTTGATTTGCATCTCTTTTATTGCTAGGGATTTTGAGCATTTCTTCATGTGTTTGTTGGCCATCTGAATTTTTTCCTCTGTGAAAAATCTTTCCATGTCTTTTGCCCATTTTGTAATTGTGTGATCAGTCTTTATCTTGTGGAGGCACTGTGGGATTTTGTAAACTTTTGATATGAGACCCCTGTCTGAAATGTTATTGCAAAATGTTTGTTCTCAGTCAGTAAGTTTTCTTTTCACCCTGTTGAAAAAAGGTTTTGATGCACTCAGGGATTTAATATTTAGAAGGTACCATTCATCATTTTTTCCTCTCCAGATTGTACCATTTTGACTGTATTTAGCAGTAGGCTAAGGCTCTCTAAGGTGTCTCTGATGAACTTTATGGTGTTGGGCTTTACTCTGTCTTTGTAATGACCTTTTGCATTCTTCCAGGATGATATTCTTGATATCATTCCACAGCTCATCTAGTCTTCACTCATTAGTCTTCAAAGTCTCAAATCTATTTCTGACTAAATCTATTTCTCAAATCTATTTATGGTTTTGAAATTCAGGTGGGATAAACTCAAGGTGAAATTTTGGTTTCTGTGGATTTGATTTTAACTTCTTTAGTTTTAGTTGAACTTGCAGATGAGTAGTTGAGTATGAGTAGTTCCACAATCAGCACCTGGCCTAGTAGTTGTCCTCTTGTTTCCCATTCTTTGGCTTTGGCTGTGGGTTCAGATATTTAAATGGTGGCAGTACTGACAGGTGTTCCTTGTAAGAGTTTGGACATTATCCTGTCACCCACAACACTGTATTTCAAGATGGATCTAGAAATGGCCTTTTTAACTATGAATGCAACTTCATTTTTCCTCACCTTTTCATTTCCAGCATAGTCGATCATAAGATTTTGCTGACTCAATATGTTCCATGCCAATCCACTTATTGCCTAGTATGTCAATATTTATGTGTTTTATTTCTTGCTTAACAATTTTCAATTCTCCTACATTCATACTTCTCACATTCTATGTTCTAATCACAAGTGTCCCTATGCAACTGTTCTTCCTCCTCTATGATTCCCATTATGAAGGCTCAACCTCTGGTGCCATCTATCTAGTCTAATCCAAAGGACAGGGAGTTCTGATAGCCTAGTGTCAAGAAGCTGTTCTTCAATGCCAAAGGCGCGTGGTTCAATCCACTAGGGGCTCTGCAGGAGAAAGATGAGCAATCTCCTCCTGTGTAATTAACTGACTCTGAAGACTCACCAAAGAGTCAGCTATGGGTTGTTCTGACTTGATGATACACAATAACAATAATAATCTATGTATGTTCTATTGTATGTAGAGGTTTTGAACCTTCAGCAGCATAGCAAAATTGAAAATACCATGCCTAAATAAGGCACACCTTAGTACTCAAACAAACATAATTTTACCCCGGTAATCTGGAAAGGTCTCTTACTGCAGACTTTCTCAGTGCAATATGTCTGACCCTCCACCTTTCATTACAGCAGATACACCTGTTATTGTTAAGTGCCGTTGAGTTGTAGCAACCCTATGAAAGAAAGACGTGAGCACTCTTCATAGAGATTCCGGAGGCAAGCCATTTTGGAAGTGGATATCACGCCTACATCTGTATTAGGTGCAGATACCCCTAGAAACCCAATAATCAATACCAGAAAACATGATTTAAATTTTAATTTCCATCAAACAGAAAGGATAGAAGCTCAAATTACACATTTAGGAGTTTCTCCATTCCCACACAACTCTAATTTGTTACTATGTCATATAAGTCTCCTCAGGAGAAAGAAAAGATCATAAATAGATGATAAATAGCTTTTTTTTTAACCAGGTTGTAAGCAAAAAGGAAATTACTGCTATGTCATTGAGATTGGTTATTCACAGCCGTCTTTAAATGCCCCATTTCTTTATTCCCCGCCCCCTACTCTGTCCTTTTTTATCCTTTTTCTTCAGTCTGATCTTTCACATTTGGGCGAAGGTAGTAATTAATGTTCATAGACAGCTTCATAATTCATTCATTGATAGTGACATGATTTGGTTACTTGGAAGTATGTGATAAGGAAATAAGGTGTTAATTCAGGGCCGCCCACTGGCTCTCTTGCCTCCTATGCATATCTAATTCACAAGAACTGAAAAAGGAATGAAATACAAGGTGTATAATAAGGGACTTCTAAATCCCTTGATAATATAATTATTTTCATTTTAAAAGTGTATTCCCATTTAAAATGACCTTACTCCATTTTCTTTATATACTTAGGAACAGGATAAGGGTATCGATAAAATTCAATACCCCAAAAACTTCGTAAAAGACTAAATTGGCATAATACAAACTCTGAAAAAAAAGTTGAACTTCTTCTATGGCATTAATAACAATAAGGATTATAAACCTATGGAGACCAGATACAAGCAATATTCTTAAGCGACAATGTGTATTTAGTGAAAAGTTAGAAAATTCAGCATAGAATTGATTTGGAGTATCCTAGTAATTCTGAATCAAATCAATATGCTGTTAGGATATTTCAGCTAAATGGTAGAATTCAATTTTAGGTAAGAAAAAACTCGTTAGAAGCAGCCTTACAAAAGAAATTAAAAACATTCATCAAGCAGTCATCTCAAGTAATTAAGTTTTTCTTACTTGTAACCAAGCTGTCGACAGACCACAGTGGCATCCTTATCAGTCCATCCATCATCACAAATTGTTCCCCACTGGCCACTGATAAAGACCTCCACTCGTCCTTCTTTCTTGTTTTCCCCATCCATCAGTCTGATAGGAAAACCTAAGTCATGATTCAAAAGTATTAGAAAAGCCAAAAGAAGCAACCAGATCATAAAGACTTTACAGAATTCAACAGCCTATCTTTTCTTCTTTTTAACTCTATAATCACCTGGGCAGTAACTGTCAGAGAGCTGAAGTGAGCTGAAGAAAGCTGAGCTGTGCTGTGCCTATGTCATGTCAGGTTAGCCTATTAAGATAACAAGCCAAAAGGAAACGGAACAGGCAAGCCTTTAATCACTTGCTTGGATAGTACAAGCAAGAGAAATGAGAGGAGACAGCATCTCTCCTCTGTTCCTTATTTTTTTCATGGAGAGTATTTAGGGGGACAGTCAGGTGAATTAGCATAAACCCATATAACTCCTGAGAACAAAAGGCTATGGGTTTTATGAACACCAGGGGGAGAAAAGAGGGGATGAGAATGAATAATTAGGAATGGAAAAGCACTCAGTATTGTGTTAGTTTGGGGAAAAGTATTGTCATGCTTCCCCATCTCTTCCCTCCATAAAAAGCATTAACAAAGGTATAAAAAAGGCTTCTGGATGGATCTGTCTGGTGTTAACAATGCAGATATGCAAAATAATATGAATGAGGAGGAGTCAGGGAAAAGGAAATGAGTGAGTCCCTGACTACAGCGCCTCTCAGTACCCGCAGTGCCTCAGCTGTGCACTGAGTCCAACTGGGGCAGGCAGCTTTCCCTTTGAGATCTGCCAGGCACAGCTTCTGAACTGTGTATAGCCGTTATGCCTGACATACAGAAGGCACTATATGAAGTTCATATTCTTCCTCATGCCATTCTCTTCTTCAGCAATGTATTATTAGCATTCATAGTGTTCAGTTAGTCAAACAACAGCTATTATTGTTTATGAACTACTTACTTTAATATGCGGTATTTCTACTATCATAAAACAAAGCAGATTTGAAATTTTACATTGAGAATGTAGGTTAACATTTTAATGGTCTTCCCAAAAGAAGGAAGATAAAAAGTTTTACATTTTCACATTTTTCAATCACTTGTACAAAGTTAGGAAATTATATGTACATAAAATTACATTTATATGTTCCATCCTAACAATTATGGATAATTTCACATACATTTTAAAATTAAACATCAAACTTTACATGTGTTTTAAAAGTAAATGTGATGGGGGGGAAAGTAGAAAAAAAAAAGGTAAATGTGATGGAGTGAGTTAAAAGCCTAACTTACTTACAAAGGCATTCTACTTTGTGGAGCATAATAAATTACGAATATGAGTAGTACAATGAATGGACATTTCAGAAGACTTAACTATGCTTGTGTGAAACCTGTCTGGAGATGTATAAGCAGCAACTAGAACAATATAAAGCTATACTGAATGGTTTCAGAACCAGGAAAGGTGGTATCCTTTTACCATTCATATTCAAATAATATGTATGCTGAGCAAATAATTTTAAGGAGCTGGGCCAGATAAAGAATATTGATCTACCAGAATTGGAAAAAGCTTCATTAACCTGGAACATACAGATGATACAACCTTGCTTGCTAAAAGGGAAGAAGGCTTGACATACTAAATTGGTAAAGATCAAAGATTATGGGCTTCAGTGTGGATAAACCTCAACATAAAGAAAACAAAAATCTTTGCAATTGGACCAATAAGCAATATCATGATAGAGAAGTAGTCAGTTTTACTTGGCTCCACATTAAACATGCACAGAAGCAGCAGTCAAGAAGACAAATGACATTGGAAAAATCTGCTGCTAAATATGTCATTAAATCATTCAAAAGCAAAGATGACATTTTGAAGACTAAGGTGCCCCTTACTCAAACCATATTTTTATAATCATCTCATACACATTTGACAAGTAGAGAAGGAATAAGGAAGACCAAAGAATAATGGATGCATTTGAATTTTAAGGTTGGCAAAGAATAGCAAATACACTAGACTGCTAGAAGAATATATCTTAAGATATATTAAGAAGTTAAGGCAGGACGCTCCTTAGAAGCAAGAACTGCAAGAGGTCATTTAATGTAGTTTAGATGTATTCCAAGGACAGACTATTCCATGGAGAATGGCATAATCCTTGGTAAGTAGAGTAGCAGCACAACCTCCCATGGACTGCACCACTAGAACATAGATAAATTAAAAATGAATATGAAGCATCTTTAATTATATAAGGAGGGCTAGTCACACGTAAAGTATCAAGATGCTAACTGAAAGGTCAGCAGTTGGATTCCATCTACTGCTCTTCAGGAGAAAGTTAAGTTGTCCCCTTCCATAAAGATTTAGGGTCTTGGAAACCCACTGGAAGGTTACTTGGTTTGAAATAGACTTGATGACAGTGGGTTAGCTGTTGTTGTAACCACATATTCCACACACTAATTTACAGTAAAGTTCTTTTTAAAAATTTTCCTGTAACATTGCTGTACTTGTTCGGTATTTGGGTGTTTTTTTTTTAAGAAAATAGTATTTTGACCTGGGAGTAGGATGTGAAATAGAGCATAATATGTGTCTAACTCTAAATCAAATTAAGAGATAAACTCACAATGAAAGAAATCTTTGTTAGGATTTAACATTCTGAACATTAGAATAAATACAAAATTAAAATTTAAAAAACCGACATATTTTATATCCCATAAATTTCTAATATAGAATTAACTATCTTCTTATATATAGAAATGAACTATCTTCTTATAAGGAATCTTTGTTCTGAGATGTCTCAACTCCATAGACCCAAATTAGAAAAGAAATGTCTATTGAACCACAACTTGTGTTGAGAATAATTTTACTTTCATATGAAGTCAAGGTCCATAAGTGACACTTAAAATAACTGAAAATTATAGTTCTTTAATGGTTCATTATTGTACTGTGAAAAAAGAAAAAAATATTTCTAGTTTCTTCAATATTGCTACTAATATTATTCCATATCTCCTCTAAGCCTCTCTTTTAAATATACAATATTATTTAATAAATGGGAGAATAATATTCTTTCTAAATAAATAAGCAGTAATATGGTTTTATGCGCAAAGACTAATTGGCTCAAATATAATATTCTCCAGACAAATGGCTTCCCTACTAGACACATTACTGAGATCAGAATTAAAGAGATTCATAGTAACGATCACATATTTTATTAATAATTATCACCCAGTACTCTCAGTGAGATGGATTGGCAACGTGGCTGCAAGAATAAGCTCAAGGAGAGCAGTGATAGTGCAGAAATCACAGATCAGGCCATGTTTTATTCTGTTGTGCATGGAGTTATTATGTGTCAGAACTAACATGACAGCATCTAACAACAAATTTTAAATACTGAAAATCCTAGAATTATAAAGACTTTCAGAGAAACTAAAATGACTAGTCATTCTAACTATATGGAAGTATTTAGCCACAGGCCATCAGAGAATGGGATCACATAGTATTTTGTCAATGGGCTCTGATGGCCTAGTGGTAAGAAGCTGCACTGCAATCCCAAAGGCATGCAGTTTGAATCTACCAACTGCTCTGAGGAAAGTTGTGCACTCTCCTCCTGTACGATTAACTGTCTCTGAAAGCCCTCTGGAGGGTTAGCTATGGATCATTTATGACCCAACAGTATACAACAACAACAACAACAACTAGAGGTAAAACAGATAAATTGATCACTCCTGGATCCAAATATCTGGTGCTGAGAGCCACTGTTGTTGTGCTATCCAGTTGAGTACAACTCATAGCGACCCTACTAACAATAGATCTGAACCCTGTCTTATTCTGTGCCATCATCACCATCTCTGACACACTTAAGCCATTGCTGCAGGTCTTGTGTCAATCAATCTTTTTGAAGGTGTTCCTCTACTTTCCACTGACCTGCTACCTTTCCAAGCATGTCTCTTTCCAAGGAATAGCCTTTCCTAAGCAATATGCCAAAAATAAAAAAATAGGGAGTTTTGCCACCCTTGCTCAAAAGGGGCACTCTGGCAGCACTTTTTCTGAAACATAGCTTTTTTAAAGCATTCCATGGGATAGTCAGTACTCTTCTCCCATACCACAGCTCAAATGCATCAATTCTTCTGTCATCCTTACTCACTGTCTAAATCTCAGATGTCTAGTAAGCAATGGAAAGATCATGGTCTGAATTCAGCACACTTGAATCTTCAAAGTGATGTCACTGCTCCTCAATGATTTAGAGAGATCCCTGACATTGGACTTGCCCAATACAATTTGCCAATGCAAGAGGATGTCTCCTAACATGCTGACCACTGGTACCAAGGGTGTTGAGTATGGTTTCAAGTAAAATGAAATTGTTGACATTTCAACTTTTTCTCCATCTCTCATGATATTGCCTATCAATCCAGTGGCAAGGAGTTTTGTCTCCCTGATGATGAGATGTAATCTTTATTTCTGGCTGCAGTTTTTTATTCTCTGCAGTGTTTCTAGTCCCCCTCACTTTCAGCAAGCAAGATTGCATCATATGCATACTATAGACTATTGATAAGTCTTCCTCTGATCCTGATGTCATATTCTTCATAGAGTAGATCTTCTTAAATGATTTGCTGGGAATTACGGAGAAAAGGTATAACTCAGGTGAATATCTTTCCTTATTTTAAACCATGCAGTATTTCTTTGCTCTGATAGGACAACAGCTTCTTAGTCTAGGTATAAGCTTCACATGAGAATATTTAAGTGTTCCGGGATTCCCATCTTCTCAATATTACATATAGTTTGTTATGATCCACAGTTCAATAACATTGTATAATTAATAAAATACAAAACAGACGTTCTTCTGATATTATGTGCTTTATACCAGGAAGTATCTGACATCAGCAATGATATTCCTGGTGCCAAAGCCTCTTCTAAGCCTACCTTAAACCTGGCATTACTGTCAGTGTACTGTTCAAGCCATTTTTTATGAACCTCAGCAATATTTTGCTTGCATGTGACATTAATGATATTGTTGATAATTTCTGCATTCTGTTGGATCACCTTTCTTGGGAATGGTGATGGGAGCAAATATGAACCTCTTCTAATTAGTTAGCCAGGCAACTGT